AACCAGGTATTACTGGAGACAGACCTGCGGGGGGGGAGGGGAGCTTAATTCACTCACTCACTCACTCACTAAGTTTAGGCTCATCATGATATTGTAACAAAATAATACACATGGTACATTGCATCAAATTGCTGTTGTCGTGAATCCACACATTACACATTTCAAAATAGAGTCTGTAGAATCATTGATTAATACGAAATAGTAAATACAGACCTAATAGCAGGCTATGATTATAGCCTAAGTAGCTTTCCATTTAATGATCCTTATGTTTCACAATCAAAAGCTCAAGAATAGTCTGTTGCAAAAACTGCAGCAAGTGCATGTATGTTTGTTTAGAAGGCCAAAAGCTTTGTTGGGAATCAAACCTGAAACCTTGTGACCTACTACTGCGATTTCTAGTCTATTAATCCATTCGTCTATTAACGAAGACTTGGAATCCGATCACCCACCTGAGGAAGTCCCTGAGCCCACTGTCCCCGTTCTGTAAGTGGATCCACATCGTCACAGAGAAACAGAACGTCACGTCAAACTTGGTACGGCTGAATCTCTGCAGATACGAGCCCAGACTCTCCTGTCTCTGCTCTGTGTCCATGTAGTCCAGAGTCTGGAATGTGAGGTGGTCTGTGTGCCGGTGGTTCTCTGTGGCACGCTGGATTAGAATGTTGTCAATATCACAGCCCAGCATGTGGAAGTCTGTGTGCTGGGTGGGTTGTGAGACTGTTGTACTGAAGTCTGTGTGCTGGGTGGGTTGTGAGGCTGTTAATGTACTGTCCTTGTGATCAGGTTGACTGTTTCCAGGGGAATCTGAAGAGAACTGTTCGACAAGTGCTGCTGTCAGGTCCTGGGGAGAGGAAGAAAGATGATCAAGGTTTCTGTTTACATATTGTCCAAGACTATACCACTTACCACTTGTAAACTACTATAATAGTTATGTGGACATCATCACAACAACATACCACTGCAATTTGAAGTTAATTATCAAATGCAGCTCATTGCTCAAGAATCCATACATTGATTTCTCTTCTATTGAAAAGACACGACATATAACGGATATATTTCTGTTTTTATGATACCTGCGTTTTACAGGGCAACAAACAAGTAGAAATAGACAAAAGAGAGCTAGAAGAAATTCTCACATGTTTACATGCTAGCAGACGACACACCAAACCTACCCCAGTGTTGCACCCTATATCCAGCCCGATGAGCGGCTTATCTTTACAATTTCTTCTGATAATAGTGTAGAACTCCTTTGGTAACAGTTTGAGCCTATTTTCTGGAGGGTTGAAGCTGTAATAGTTGATAAAATTGCCGAAAGGCGCGGCTCCGGGCTGGAACTCAGGATCGGCGGCCATGTTGGTGACTTCTGACCTACAGCCGGAACTATCCCACAGTTCCGTGCGCACCACAATGGCGGAAGGCGGAGAAGAGGTCGGTGTCAGGGCAGAAAAATGCCTCAAAATTGTCTTTTTACACCTCCCATTGTCGCAAGATTGTGTAGACAGTGAGTTGAGGTGTTGCTGCAAGTCGTGATGTGTTTGTTTTTGTCTTTGCAGGAGTCTGAGGTGTTTGAAATCACCGACTTCACAACTGCATCAGAATGGGAGAGGTAAAACTGGGTTACATTACGTCGAATTTTGTTTCTTTCATCTGCTTGAAAAACTAATTTAAGTCGGAATTTTGGCTGAGGTGCCTGTGATGAAGAGATCTAGCCCTTATAATTGTTCCTGCTTGTCCACAATCTGTTTAACATTTAGATTTTACCCATTAAAACCACTTAAATTCTTTGGCCTGTCCTGTAAAAAAAGTAATCGATTCATTCAAAACTTCATCCGTTTCAATTACCAGCTGTGACGTAGAATTCGGAGCCACAAGGTCAACGCTTGTTATATAGGCTCTTGTTTTTCATAGCCAAGCTGCCACAGGTACAGAATTTATTTATAGCCTGAAGTGAAGGGCCTCAGAGGGCGTATCCCACTTGTGACAGATGTCAATTATATCCCATCATTTCCCCGCCATGATGTAGTAAATAAATGATGCAATCATACCTAATTATGTATCATCTATTGTTCATGTAAGTTTTCACATTACTTCTATATCTGCGAGAACCAGAACTATTGATGCTTTCTCTTTAGATATTTGTCAACGACCACTTTTTTGGTCTTCCTGGTAAATTACAGATCTCCCTGATATTACAGATCCTATCATTTTGAAAGAGAATAATCCTACTGTCTCACGATAAGTTCCCATCTAAAGCTTCCCATCGAAATCTTGTATTTCCCCAGGTTTGTTGCGAGGATTGAGGAGGTCATCAATGAGTGGAAACTGGCAAACCTGGCGCCCGGGCCGCCGCTCAGGAAGGTACTAGTTTAAGTTTCTTCTGAATCTGATACAGAAGTTTTGTTTTGGTTGGTGATGATTTAGGTTTTTATGTTCAGTTGGATCAGATGCCGGTCACAAACAGTATCAGCAGAGAGTATCAGTAG